ACTCAACGGCATTTAACAACAACATATCCTTCACTTTCAGCACTCTGCCAACAGCACACTCAAAAGCATCAACTCTTCTTTGATCTTCTTTGTTCATTGTCCAGCTCTCATGTGGATATGAGGTGATTGAAAATCTGGGTACCACCTAGTTCTTCTGGTCTCAGGGTCATTGAGGTTGTGTCTTGTATAGGTTGTCAGCCTTGTTGACTTGTTTCTTCTCTGTGATTTTGGTCATCTTTTTCCTGTTTTGCTCCTGTTGGGTAGAGACCAATGGTTGAGTCTTAGATGGCCCCAGATGCTACTCATGTCACTAGAATGTGGACCATGAACTTTGTGAGTTATGTTATGCCAGCTGGCAGAGTTGTCCCTTGAAACAAGGTCCCAACCAACTGGGAAAAATTTTAGTTATTGGATATGATTATAAGTTATTACAAGTAATTGGCCTCTGTTTATGTTATAATGTTAAATTTTTGTGCTTATTGTTTTTGTGGATACATAATATATTTATTAAAACTTAGAATTTTTAAATAGCATATTTTCAGAAGACAGCTTTATATTTTTTGGGTAAACTTTATGACTCATTAAGGTTTTTTTATTAAATAAATGAAGTTAATTTTGGCCTGTTTATAAGAAAATAAAATACTGAATTTAAATAAATTTGAGAAAAAATTGTAAACTTTCTTGTTTTTAACTAATACACTTTGAAAATGTTCTATGTAAATTAACATTTTTAAAAAATTGTTTTAAGACATTTTGTAATATTGCAAGGCATTATGGTTTAGTTTATTTTGTAGTGTTTCTCAATAAGTAACAGATTTTTTCCAAAGTTTTTTACATGAACATGTTCTTTTCAGAATACGTAAGCATTAATAAGAAGGTTTAAAATGTGTTTCTCTTTTGAAATCATAAATGGGGCGATCGTAGAAGAGGGGCATTGTTTTACAGTTTGCACATCTCTTTTATGTCTGGCTTAGAACTCGTAGCAGTTTGTGCCTTCTGTTGCTGCAATATTACATGTCCTATGGCCTCTGGTTTACAGAGAACTTCCAGAAATGCAGGCTGGATTCAGGAGAGGATGTGGAACAAGGGATATTGTTGCTGATGTCAGATGGATCTTGGCTGAAGGCAGATAATACCAGAAAGATGTCTACCTATGTTTTATTGACTATGCAAAAGCATTTGATTGTGTGAATCATAACATATTATGGATAACTTTGAGAAGAATGGGAATTCCTGAACAGTTAATTGTGCTCATGAGGAACCTGTACATAGACCAGAATGCTGTCATTCAGACAGAACAAGGGGACTTTGCATGGTTTACAATCAAGAAGGGAGTGTATCAGAGTTGTATCCTTTCAACATACTTATTCAATCTGGATGCTGAGCAAATAATCTGAGAAACTGGACTATATGAAGAAGAACATAGCATCAGGATTGGAGGAAGACTTATTAACAATTTGTGATATGCAGATGACACAAACTTGCTTGTTCAAACTGAAGGCGACTTGAAGTACTTACAGACTTAAAGATTACAGTCTGCAGTATGGATTATACCTCAACATAAAGAAAATGAAAATCTGTACAACTGGACTAATAAGAAAAATGGAGAGAAGATTGAAATTGTTAAAAATTTTATATTACTTGGTTCTACAATCAACACCAGTGGAAGCAGCAGTCAAGACATCAGCAGACATATTGCATTGGGCAAATCTGCAAAAGACCTCTTTCAAGTGCTGAAGAGCAAAGATGTCTCTTTGAAAACTAAGGTGTACCTAACCCAAGCCATGGTATTTTCAATCACCTTTTATGCATGTGAGAGCTGGACAATGAATAAGGAAGACTGAAGAAGAGTTAATGCTTTTGAGTTGTGGTGTTGGTGAAGAGTGCTGAAAGTATCATGGACTGCCAGAAGAACTAACAAATCTGTCCTGGAAGAAGTGCAGCTGGAATGCTCCTTGGAAGCGAGAATGGCCAGACGTCATCTCACCTACTTTGGCCCTGTTGTCAGAAGGCACCATTCCCTGGAGAAGGATGTCATGTTTGGTAAAGTGGAAGGTCAGCAAAAAAGGGGAAGGCCCTGAATGAGATGGACTGATACACTGGCTGCAGCGATGGGCTCGGGTCTAGCAATGATTGTGAGGCTGGCACAGGACCAGGCACTGTTTCATTCTGTTGCACATCAGGTAGCTATGAGTTGGGGCCAACTCGACAGCACCTAACAACAATAACATAGCCTCTGGAAATCACTACTCTATACATTCATGAGAGAATGAGTGAAACTGAACACCATTATTTCACCCAAAGTCTTCTTAAAGCCAGATAATAGTTTAGCTTCACTAGTAAACACTGTCTGCCTTGACTGTGATGCCCTTTTAAGAACTATATGGGATCAAAGTGACAACAGCAACTCAAAAAATTAGGAACCCTAGTGGCAATAAGTTATGGTGCTGGGGGCGGACAAACTCAGAAAAGGAGGGTGAGAAGGGTTGCCCAACCACCAAAGGATGTAATTAGTGTCACTGAATTGCCCATGAATAAATTGTTGAGGTGTGTATTGCTGTGTACATTCTCAACAACAAAAATGAGAAATTATTTTAATGCCATTATTATTATAAACTAAGTTTTGAACTCACTAACCCCTCAAAAGCTTCTAAGGGATCCCTATCTGGACCACACTTTGAGAACTGCAGTGAGACAAACCCTTACCACCAAGGAGAAAACAAGGAGTACTGGAGAAGGAAATAAGATACTAAGGAAACCACAGAAGGCAGATCCGGCACCATTAGAACTAGGAAGAAATCTGAGTCCAGTGGACACGGGGCTGCCCCTGAGGGGAAGACAATAGACCTCTGCCCTGGGACCTCAGCCTACAGAGTGAGGGACAAATCCAAACCTGGTGCCATCAAGTTCAATTCGTAGAGATGCCATGTGACACACAACTGCCCCATAGTGTTTCCAAGACTCCAGTCTTTAAGGAAGTAGAAGACCGGAGCTTTCTCCTGTGGAGGGGCCCGTGGGTTCTAACTGCTGACCTTTTATTTTGCAAGGAGCTCCTAACCAGTGCACCACCAGGCTCCTTGGAGTTGAGGACACTACCTGGGGAATTGGTTGGCTCCAGGTAGAGGCTGAATGCGGTCTCTGACCCATAGTTCCCACAGCAGCGCCTGCCACCTGCTCATGTAAATGAGGAAGCCTGACACCTGCTCCAGCTCTTGGCACCTGCAGACTCGGGTGGGCTGGGCCCAGGACGGGGCTGCGGGTGAGACACTGAGGTGTCCTACCTGAGCCGGGCAGGAGGGAAGAGAGAGCTAGGCACAGAATGGGGACCGAGATGGGAGGGTGCGGACTTCGCAAGCACAGTGGAACCTGGCTTCTCCATCCCGGGTGACTTTCCTTGTTCACGCCTTTAACCCGCCGTGGAAACGATTATGTTCGTGATTATTATTATTTTTTTGTGTGTGTGTGTGTGTGTGTGTCTCTCCCTCCCCACTTAACCCAGATTAGGAAGCAGAATGTGACCAGCTGTCAGAGCCCCCTGTGTCCCCTTCCCACCACTACCTTCCAAAAGTGTTAACAAAACTGAAACTTTCACACATGCAATTTTGATGCGTGGACATGTTTTATATATATCTATATGGAGCAAAACTTGAAGAGCCCCAGGCCTCCCGCGCATTTACGTCACACACAGCTAGGAAGCGCAGGTCCCGGGACTTCAAACCAGGCCACCCCACTCCAGAGCCAGCGTTTTCGGTGTTTTGTTTGTGGGGCTGTGGTCGTCATCAAGAGGCCCCTCTGCGCTCCCACCAAGTGCGCAGGTAACACCCACCTATCCCCAGCCGTTAGAATTCTAACGGTCCGTTCTCGCAGGTCCCTTTGGACCACTCAGTACGTCCCTACCGGAGACGGAGGCCCCAATTGGCCTTCAAACGGCCGAGCATCACAGTTGAGTTGCTCCTGAGCCCCCAACCCCCGCCTCTAATAGCCCCGTCGGTGACCACAACATCCCTATTGGTTGGAGGCCCGGCCGGCGGCGTTTCCCATTGGTCGGGCGCCGCGGCGCGCCGCATTGCCATCTGGGAGTTGTAGTACTAGCATCGGCTGCGAGGCCGCCATTGTCCCCCGGTTGAAGAGTTGGGTGGGCCTGGTGGCAGAGGCGGCTCTGGAATTTGGGGGTCGCCTCAGGCGGCAGTGAGTAGAAGGCTCGGGCGCCTGTCCTCGCCTCATCCGTTGAGGATGGACGCCGAGGAGAGGGCGGCAGTGGTGGCGATAGCCGTGGGGCTGCCAGCAGCCCGGCGTCAGGTAACAATAACAACGACGACGGCATCGGGTCGCAGATGAAGCGACCCCGTAGATGCTAACCCTTAACCCACACAGCGCGTAGTGAAGAGGGCGTGGCCGTTGTCCCCATTTACAGAAGATAAAACTGAGGCGCCGCCAGGCCTGGGGACTGGCCCGGCTATTTGGGCAGAGCCGGCATTCGAACCCGAATCGCCCGGGCCCGAATGCGCATGCTCTGTTGGTACCCGCTCCCCTAGCGGGGGGAAGGTCATCTCGGAGGCCGCCCCGGGGGAGGCAGGACACTCGCGCTGCGCGCAGCCACGCCCCGGGAGCCGTTATCGACCCTGGTGCCCGGGCTAAGGTGACCGAGAGTCGGTCGAGGCCGAGGAGGCAGAGCCCGTTCCATCTTCGAACGGCGCCTCCTTAGTGCGCACGGGGCCAGCAGACATCCACGGGGCGCCTCCACCGCGAAGCCCCGCCTGAGGGTGCGGCCCAGGCCCCCAGGGGTGACGGACGGTCTCCACGCCCCCTGTGAGCGGACGGGCGCTGTGAGGTGGCCTGGCACTGTCCTGGAGCCCCGCAGCTTTGAAGGGATGTACGGCCCAGTTGGTTAGCTTGATTGGGGGTTTTGCCGTGTTTCAGAGGTGTGCACAGAGTGTAATTATTGATCATCCTCGTGTGCATGTCTTCAGCGGGGTGCGACATGAGAACACAATTCAGGTTGCTCCTGCTGGGGGGGGCGGGCAGGGAGGCAACAGGAGGATAGGCATCCGAATGGTCCTGTTAGTTACCTGCTGCCGTGTAACCAGTCACCCACAACATAGCAACGGAAATACTTACTGCCTCAGTTTCTGACCGTTACCCATTGCAGTCTAGTACATTCCCCACTCAGTGACCCTGGGGGACAGAGTAGAACTGCTCCATAGGGTTTCCATGGCTGTAAATCTTTATGGAAGCAGACTGCCACATCTTTCTTCCACTGAGCGCTGGTGTCGGAACAGCCGACCTTTGGTTGCAGCAGAGCACTTTAACCATTGCACCACCAGGGCTCTTCTGATGGTTAGGAACCCTGGAATGACTTGGCTGGTGTTTCTGGCTGTGGCTAAAGAAGGTGTCACCTGGGACTGCTGTCACCTGTGGCTTGACTAGGCTCCATCCCTGAGATGGCTCACTCACAGGCTGATGGTGGCCTCGGTTCCTCCCCATTGGGCTGCTAGTGGAGCTGCTTGAGTACCCTCACAACATGGCAGCCAGCCTCCCCCAGGGCAAGTGAGCCACGGCAGGATGAAGTGCAAGCTACAGTGCCTTTTGTGGCCTGCTTTCTGATGTCACTGTGTCATTCCCAAAGAGTCCCACTGGTTACACAGGTCAGCCTTGGCTCAGCTGGGTGGGACTCCACAATGGCATGAATACAGGAGCCGGGACCATTGGGGACCCTGTGCAAGCTGGTCACTACAAGCGGCAAGGATCTGATTGCCAGGCTGAGGGTGTTTACCCTGTAACCATGCTCGCCCATGTTTTAAGCAGGAGTGGTGTGGGTTTTAGAACCATCCAGACTTCTGGGGTTGGTGAAGGTACTCAGGGCTGAGCAAAGGCAGCAGCAGAAAAGAGAGGAGGTAGAGCCTGGTCCTCAGGTGTTGACTGATGCCTGGGCTGCCTGGTCACCAGTGGGTGAGTGTGGACCAAAGAGGTCTGAGCACAGCCTCCCCACGAGGCCCAGCAGTTCAGAGAAAGACAAAGGGTGCAGGGATGTGAGACAGAGCCACAAGGGCAGTGCCAGGACCACAAGAAGTGGTCTCCTCCGAGGGTCCCAGGAAGGAAGCCAGAAGGAGGCAGGAAGGGATGTGTGGGATGCCACTGACAGGTCTCAGGCCTGGACAGACCAGTGCTCTGTGGATCTGGTGCCAGGCCCATCGCCGGCAACCCCCACAGAGTAGGTGAAGGTGGCCGGCAAGGGGAGAAGGCACAGGAAGTGTGGATGGGGGTTGTGGAAGGTCAGAGTGGGAGGTAAGGGTGCATGAACAAGAGCAGAGACTGTTCCAAACCAAGGGCTTCTGTATGTTTCCTGCCAAGTTTTGCCAGAACCACATTCTGCCCAAATTACAATTTCTTTAATTTTTTTTTTTGTCTGCTCACATTTTTCTTAAAAAGTTTTTAAAATTGCAATAGAACTTACAGAGAAGGCTACAAACGTGAAGTGTACTTACAGCTTGATGAGGTCTACAGGGCACACATACCTGTGTGATCACCACTGTGTCGAGCAGAACACAGCTGGCTCCCCAGAGTCCAGGGGCCCTTCTTCCCAGAGGTGACTAGTGACTAGTATGTTCATTTCTGTGAGACCAAGTGCCACAAGTGAAATTGTCCAGTCACAGAGTATGTGAGGGTGCAAACTGGGGAAAGCCCAGTTTTCCAGAAAGGGTGAATCTGCTTAGCTTACACTGCCAGTGCCAGTGTAAGAGAGCCCCAGTCCCCAGTCCTGCTAACAGTTGGGTTGCAAGGTGGAGAATGTACCCTGGGCGGCTTCCCCTAGAGCCATGCAGACAGGAAGACCCAGGTTCTGGTGAGGGCTCAGCTGTTGACGGGGATGGCCACACTTAGTGGAGGTCTGCTGACCTCACCAGTGATCACATGAGCACGGCCAGGACCCATATGCAGAATGCCACCCCAGGTTCTTCAGCCTCGTTAACTAAAACAGGCAGAAGTTTTATTTTTTTGTGACAACTTTTGTTAAGTGCCATCCAGTCAGTTATGACTCACAGCGACCCTATGTACAACAGAACAAAACACTTCCTGGTTGTTGGCCATTCTCACAATCCAGTGTTTGAGCCCATTGTCGTAGCCGCTATGTCCGTCTCACTGAGGGTCTTCCTCTTTGTCATGGACCCTTTTCCAGAAGTGACGTCCTTGTCTAGGGCCTAGACCCTCGTAATAACATGTCCAAAATACGGGAGGCGATGTCATGTCATCACTTCTAAGGCACATTCTGGCTGCACTTCTTCCAGGACAGATTTGTTCCTTCTTCAGGCTGTCCATGGTATGTTCACTGTTCTTCACCAACACTGTAGTTCAAAAGCATCAGCTATTCTTTGGTCTTCCTTAGTCCTTATCTAGCTTTCACACACATACAAGGTGGTCATTTGGGTCAAGTGCTCCTTAGTCCTCAAACAAAGGCTTTGGTTTTTAACATTTTACAGGGTTCTTTTGCAGCAGATTTGCCAGTGCAGTAAGTACATCATTTCATTTCTTGATTGCTGCTTTTGTGGTCACTGATTGTGGATCCAAATCCAATGAAATCTTTGACAACTTCAGTCTTTTCTGCATTTATCGTGATGTTGCTTACTGGTCCAATTAGGAGAATATGTATATTTTTCATTGTGATTTGGGTGAAAGTTTACAGAGCAAATTGGTTTTCCATTCAACAATCCATACACATTCTGTTTTGTGACAGTCACTGCAATCCCCACACTGTAACAGCATTCTCCCCACTTCCTCCTTGTGCCCACCCCTTCCTTCATTCTTCCCCCCACCCATTCCCACCTTCCTACATCTATCCCTTGGCAAATGCTTTCTTTATATTGAGGTGTAATTCATACTGAAGGGTACAGTTTTTGATCTTCATCAGTCAGTGCTTCAAGTTCTCTTCATTTTCAGCAAGCAAGGTTGTGTCATATCACACACACACACACACACACACAGATAAACCTCACTGCTCTCAAGTCAGATACGACTCTTAGCGACCCCTCTTTGGGTTTCGAAGGTGGTATCACTACAGAAGTAAATTGCCCAACCTTTCTTCTGAGGAGTGGCTGGTGGGTTTGAACCGCTAGCCTTCTGGTTAGCAATCAAATGCCTTAGGCACTACGCCACCAGCGCTCCCATGTCATATCACAGGTGGTACAAAAAGATGTGGGGGTGACATCTCCTGACCTCCTCCCATCCCACGAGGGGGAAACACGAGTCACCAGCAGTTCAAGGCTTGTTCCTAGGAGGCCAGACCTGCCACCACCCTCCAGCCTTTTTACCAACTCTGACACCACCCGTCCCTCCCATGGCACTCACTGCTTCTTTTCTGGGTTCAGTAATTTGTTGCAATAGCCACACAGAACTCACAGACAAGATTCACGGTTATGGAGTTGATTAGGGAAGTAACAGGATACACTTCAGGTCCAGGAACGTGCTCAGGATACAGTTCTTTGATCAGAACAGTCTCCCCTCCGCTGTGCCCTCAGGGACACCTCCCTGACTCCTGGCCTCTCAGCCTGGCCTCTGCCCTGCTCAGACAAGTGTTACAAGCTCTTTTGGCTCAGCCAGTGGGTATACCTGGATGCACCCCATTCTGCCAGCAAGCCTCATGCCCTAGAGCACTTGCCTTTCTCACTGTGTGGGCCGGCAGGCCTGCTGCTCTGACCATGCCCTGTGGTTCCGCAGCTGGTTGTCTCTGCCTGTCATCTCTGCCTGTCATCTCTGCCATCTTTCTGTGAAGGGGGTCCAGCACAGGGATCTGGGGTCCAAGGATGTACTCCACGCCAATTCTGGTTTTTTCTTGATGGAGGAGACCCTGTTCTGCCTCTAGGAAGGCTCATTTTTAGCCTGGCAGAATGGCAAAACTAACCAATCCCCGCATTAGAGTTCCGTACACCTATTTGCATGGTCCCACCCACTAATCTAGTGGGAGTCACAAAGACTGGCTAGAAAAAGCCGTACCAGGTAATTCATTGCACCACAAGTGGTTAATGAGTCTTTCTCCAATCCTGATGCCACATTCTTCACATAATCCAGTTTCTCGGATTGTTTTCTCAGCATATAGATTGAATAAGTATAAAAAAGGATACAACCCTGATGCACACCTTTCCTGATTTTAAACTGTGCCATGTCCCTTTGTTCTGTTTGAATGACAGCCTCTTGGCCTCTGTACGGGTTCTTCATGAGTACAATTAAGTGTTCTGGAATTCCCATTCTTTTCAGTGTTATCCATAGCTTGTTATTGTCCACACAGTCAAAAACTATGCCTTTGCATAGTCAATAAAATACAGGTAAACATTGTTCTGTTATTCTTTGCTTTCAGCCAAGATCCATTTGACATCAGCAATGATATCCCTTGCTCCACATCCTCTTTTGAATCCCCTTGAATTTCTGGCAGTTCCCTGTTGATGTATGGCTGCAACTGTATTTGAATTACCTTCAGCAAAGTTTTATTTGTGATAGTAATGATTAAAAAAACTCACTGCCGTCGAGTCGGATCTGACTCATAGCGACCCCACCTTGGGTTTCTGAGGCAGTATCACTAAGGAAGTAGATTGCCCAAACTTCCTTCCGAGGAGTGGCTGGTGGGTTTGAACTGACAGCTTTCTGGTTTGCAGTCAAGTGCCTTAGGTATTACGCCACCAGAGCTCCTGATAGTAATGATACTGTTCGATAATTTCTGCATTCTGTTGCATCATCTTACTTTGGAATGGGCACGATTACAGATCTCTCCCAGTTGATTGGCCAGATCTCTGTCTTCCAAATTTCTTAGCATAGAGGAGTGAGCACTTCCAGTGTTGCATCCTCTTGAAACAAACAGCTTTAATGAGATACAATTTATATACCATGCAATGTCACCTATTTAAAGTGTACAATTTGTTGATTTTTAGTATATTCACAGAGTTCTGCAGCTGTCACCAAAACCAATTTTGGAATATTTCATCACCTCAAAAGAAACCCTGTACCCCTTAGCTATCACCCCCAGCCCCAGCCCAAGCAATCTCTAGTCTGCTTCTGTCCCTATAGCTTTATGTATTCTGGACATTCATGAAAATGAGTTCATGTGATATGTGGTCATTTGCGTCTGACTTCTTTGATTGAACATAAGTTCCATGGTTCATCCATGGTGTGACAGCACTATTTGTACTTCACTCCATTTTATGCCCAAATAATACCCCAGTGTATGGATGCACCACATTTTCTTTATCCATTCGTTAATTGATGGACATTGGGGTTTTTTCCACTTTTTGGCTCTTATAAATAGTACTACTGTGAACATTCATGTACAAGTCTGGGGTTCCCACCCCCCTTTTACAGGTTTTCATGTAGGCTTATGTCTTTATTTGTTTTAGGTATATATACACCGGAGGGAGCACTGGTAGCATAGTGCCTAAGGCACTTGACTGCTAACCAGAATGCTGGCAGTTCAAACCCACTAGCCACTCCTTGGAAGGAAGGTTGGGCAATCTGCTTTCGTAGTGATACTGCCTCGGAAACCCAAGGAGGTGTCACTACAAGTCAGGTCTGACTCCACAGCACGTAACAACAACAACATACACTGGTTCAAGTGGTAACTGTGTTTAACCTTTTGAGAAACTGCAGTTGTTTTCCAAAATAGCCACATCATTGTATATTCCCACAGCCATATACAAGCTTTCGAACTTAACCACATCCTTACCAACACTTGTAATTGTATAGCTTTGATTTTAGCCTTCGTAGTAGATGTGAAGTGAAATCTTACGCTTATGATTTCCCTGATGGCTAGTGATGTTGAGCATCCTTACATGTGCTTATTGGGCATTTATGGGTTGTCTTTTTAACTTCTGGATTTACCCTTTGAAGCACAAAAGTTTTTTTTAATCTTGATGAAGTCCAGTTTATCTACTTTTTGTTGCTTGTGTTTTATGTGTCATATTTAAGAAAGCATTGCCTAATCCAAGGTCACAAAGGCTTCTAGGAATTTTCTTCTAAAAGTATTATAGTTTTAACTGGTACTTTTACATTTTTTATCCACTTGAAATTTTGTATATGGTGTGAGGCAGGGATCTGGGTCTTTTCCTTTGCATGTAGCTATCCAGTTGTCCTGTAGGAAGCATCTTACATGTACTTAGTTCCCATCATACCAAGGGGAAGATTCTTTATAGATGAGGTGGGAAACTGGGAAGCAAAGCTGCCTCTCAGAGAGGAAATGGCGGAACCAAGACTGATCCAGGCAGATCTGGCCTTTAGCCATGGCCACATCCAGCCCATATATGGATTTTTTTTGTTTGTGAGACACATTTTAGATATATTGCACCCACTTATAAAAATCCAAAGTTTCCATATAAAAATCTGACCTATTTTCCAGCTTCTCTCCAAAGCGAGCTAGGAGCTCTGGTGGCGTAGTGCCTAAGGCATTTGACTGCTAACCAAAAGGTTGGCACTTCAAACCCACCAGCCACTCCTCAGAAGGAAGACTGGGCATTCTACTTCTGTAAAGATAACCCCTTGGAAACCCGAGGAGGGGTCGCTATGTGTTGGATCAAGTTGATGGCAGTGAGTTTGGCTTTTTGGTTTCCTTAAAGATCGGCAGTTCTGAGCCCATGGGCCCTATATTTCCACAAGGCTGTGCCAGTCATTGAGTCCCAGGTGCCCTTTGGAGCATGCTCTTCGTCTCCTCTGGCACCACAGTTCAGAGCATGTGCTCATGTGGGCCCTTTACACTGTCCCACTTAGGCATTTGTGAGCCTGCCCAGCCCCTGGAGGCATGTGGGTTTCAGATCCCCAGCTATGCACCCCTCTCTTCCGGGAGGATAATAAGCCTTGTTTTGTGTCTGAGAGTTCATGGGTATACCAGTTAGTTGCTGCTGTGTGTTAGTTGCTGCTCCAAAACACACTACCATTTCTTCAGTTTACAAATATGAAGGTCAGTGAACTAGACTAGTCTCAGCTGGGCATCTGCAGCCATCCGTGATTGCCTATGGGTTGGCCCTGCCAATGTTTCCTGGATGCTCCCCTGTGTCCTTTTGTGAAGTCCACACCTGGCTGCAGGGGCTCAGTAGGTGCCCAGTTCAGCCTGACTCTCATCATCAGACCCCCACTCTCTCAGGACAAACATCTGCTCATCTTCTCCTTCCACACTCCTCCTCCTCCCGAGAACTCTGACAGTCCAGCTGACAAGACTGTGTATCGCATTTCAGGAGCCAGTGACCTTCCGAGATGTGGCTGTGGACTTCACCCGGGAGGAGTGGGGACAACTAGACCCTGCCCAGAGGACCCTGTACCGTGACGTGATGCTGGAGACCTTCGGGCACCTGGTTGATGTGGGTAAGGCCCACCTGGCAAGCAGATTACCTGTGCTGGTGATGACTGACAACTCGTAGGTTGTAACTACGAATTTTATGGGGGCACTGGGGTGAGGAAGGAGCTCTGGTGGCATAGTACCTAAGGCACTTGACTGCTAACCAGAAGCCTGGCGGTTCAAACCCACCAGCTACTCCTTGGAAAGAAGACTGGGCAATCTACTTCCATAGTGATACTGCCTCAGAAACCCAAGGAGTGGTAGTTATGAGTCAAATTGACTTAATGGCAGTGAGTTTGGTTTTGGGGTAAGGAGCTGACTGTGGCTGCTCACACTCACCCCTGGGGCATGTGTCTCAGTGCAAAGTCTCCGCCTTGTTGCATGGCTATTTCCATGGCCGCCTCTTGTCCTGAATGTCAGGAGTCTGTCCTGTGCTTTTTCCTGTTTCCAGGGCCTGAGCTTCCCAAACCCGATGTCATCTCCCAGCTGGAGCAGGGGGCTGAGCTGTGGGTGGCGGAGAGAGGACTTGCCCAAGGCTGTTGTCCAGGTGAGAACTCATCAGGCAGGAGTCCTTGCAGGGACCAGTCAGGGGGTGACTGGAGGTGTACGGCCTGGGAAGGTGGTGTATTGGGGTCTCCAAGGCACCCCAGGCCCAGGGATTGATCAGGAGGCCTCAGGGTTCAGCATACAGTGGTTCTCACAGCCAAGATTTATTACAGCCAAGGGACCCCAAGCAGAGTCTACAGCAGGGCGGGTGTGCAGGGTGATGTCCAGGGAGGCCAGGTGGGCTTCCGTGAGCCCTCTGCCAGTGGAGTGGCAGTGGAGTTGCCTTCCACATCACAGCACCCTCACCTGCCTCTCCTCCCTCTGAGCTCAGAGGGTGTCCCCCTTGGCTCCTGTGGTGAGACTCCCCCTTCCCCTCCTTCATTCCGTCTTCTCTCCGGTTGGCTCTGTCTCACCTGCTGGCGTTGCCCTTTCCACAGCATCACTTCTGATGCATGCACTTGTCTTTCATAATCTCTGTTTCTCGCGCCTTCCCAGTTTCTGTAAACCTGTTCCCCTCATCCTTACTCTGTTCTCTTGCTAACAAGGAATATGTGTTCCCTGCAAATAACAGAAAACAGGGCTAGAGTGGTACAAAGAAGAAGGAGGGCTTTCTCGCCCTCAGAAACCCTGCTGGCCCATGTTTCCTTGATGGCAGGACGGGCGCTGCATGCCTGCAGCAGCTTCAGCCATCTCGTCCACACTCCAGGCAGGAGGGAGAGAAGTGGTAAGAGTGATGCCAGCCCAAATCCAGATGCTGTCCACCTAGGTCTCCTCACTCAGGACTGGACCACAGTGTGAGGAAGGCTGAGAGGAGGCCTAGATCGTCATAACTGGCTTGGTCCGGGCTGGGAGGGGGCCTGCACTGTCGTAACTGGCTTGGTCCGGGCTGGGAGAGGGCCTGCACCGTCACTGGCTTGATCCAGCTGTGAGCCTTTGCCTGGGCTGGTGAATTGATGCCCTGTCCCCTTTCTGGAAGAAGAGGGACGTGGCCATTACACTTAGTCAGCAGTGCCCACAGTGTGACCTTCCACTCAGATGCCTCTGACACCACATTGGGGCCTTTCTGATCCCTTCAGAGTCATAAAAGCCATTTGTAACTTGAGGGTCAAAACTGACTGTGCTGTGCTGACCTCTGACCTGGACCTGGGCCCAGGCCACAGCAGGTGCTCAATGAACATTGTTGAATGAATGAAGCTGTGTTTTAGGCAGGGGCACTTGATGTCCATGGATGAGCACATCTGAGGGCTGTGCCCTAAGGCAGGACAGGTAACTGGTATTCTGGATCAGTACATGGAGCTGAGGCATTGGAGCCTGGTCTTCTTAATTTTTGTCCCGCAACGTCTCAGAGCTCTCTGGTTTTCTTTCAGGCTGGGAGACTAGAGCTGAAGGTCAGGCATCACCCAGAAGGCAGGGACTTCCTGAAGAGGTGCCGCCCCGTGTCCTGGCGAGGACAGGATTCCCAAGGGCTGATCTGTGGCCTGCCACAGTAGAGGAGGAATGGGCCTGTGAACGCAAGCCCGGGAAGCTCAACCAGGACGATAGGAATCAATTGGAGTTTGACCGTAAAGAAGCGTCCACTCAAGATAGCGGCAGCAGAAACCTCAGACTTGGGGAAAACGGTATCATGAGTTCAGACCTCAGTCCGTTACAGGGAGAATATTTCTGTACTTCCGACTCACAAGTCAAAAGCTCAGAGCATCACTCAGGCTTACTCAGTCAGCAGACGGGCTCCTCCGGGCAACAGCCCTTTGAAAACAATGGCTGCAGCACAGTGTTGGGTCTGGACGTTGACGCTGTGCAGCTTGGGAAGACCCCAGTGCAGGAGAAACCCTACAAGTGCGCTGACTGCGGTAAGTCCTTTAACCATAACGCCCACCTCACGGTGCACAAGAGGATCCATACGGGAGAGAGACCGTACATGTGCAAGGAGTGTGGAAAAGCCTTCAGCCAGAACTCCTCCCTCGTTCAGCATGAGCGAATCCACACGGGAGACAAGCCCTATAAGTGTGCCGAGTGTGGGAAGTCCTTCTGCCACAGCACACACCTCACCGTGCACCGGAGGATTCACACTGGGGAGAAGCCATACGAGTGCCGGGACTGTGGGAGAGCCTTCAACCAGAACTCATCCCTTGGCCGGCACAAGAGGACACACACGGGGGAGAAGCCCTACACGTGCAGCGTGTGCGGCCGATCCTTCTCACGAACCACTTGCCTCTTCCTGCACCTGAGAACACACACCGAGGAACGGCCCTATGAGTGCAATCACTGTGGGAAGGGCTTCCGGCACAGCTCCTCCCTGGCGCAGCATCAGAGGAAGCACGTCGGGGAGAAGCCCTACGAGTGCCGGCAGCGGCTCATCTTCGAGCAGACGGCAGCTTTAGCGAAGCAGGAGTGGTCGGAAGCCCTTGGCTGCAGCCCACCGCTGAGTCGAGATGCACGAGACGACAGGCCCTTTAAGTGCAGTCAGTGTGGGAAGTGTTTCATTCAGAGTTCGCACCTCATCCGGCATCAGATAACTCACACCAGAGAGGAGCCCCGAGGACGGAACCGGCGGGAGCCGGCCTGTAGCCGGAGCGCCCCCCTCATCCGACACCAGTACCCGCGTGTGGAAGAGAGCGCAGGTGGAACCAAGGCAGGACAGCCTGCTGGCAGGGCTCTCGCCTTGTTCGACATCCATGAGATCGTGCAGGAGAGAAGCCCCGTGCATGTTATAGGTGTGGGAGAGCCTGCCATCAGCACCTCCCTACTCTTGGACATCAGAAAGTCCACGTAGGAGGGAAACCCTGCAGACAAGTTTTGAACCACGGGTACATAGATGTGGTAAGTCCCACCATGTCCTCGTGGGAAGAGAAGCTGAGGGTGGTGATGGCCAAGGTGACTGACCACTGCTTTCCTAAGGCCGTGGTGCTTCACAGATGTCTGAGATCGGCAGGTCCCAAACCAAAAGCCAAACCCATTGCCATCAGGTCTGCTCCGACTCCTGGCAATCCACATGGTTTTCGAGGCTGTGATCCTTATGGAAGCAGGTGTCCAGGCCTTTGTTCTGCAGTGCCGCTGGGTGGGTTTAAACTGCCCACCTTTATGCTGGCAGTCAAGTGTAAACAGTGCCACCCACAGACGTTTATCAAACTCAGTGCCCCCTTTTAACAGCAAATACTTTGTAATGTTCCTTTTATTATCCCAAAATGAATTCACAGAGAGTATAACGTACCACATGCGCAATGTCAAAAATCAGTGTATTTTGTAAAGGGTAATTAAAATGGAAGTAATTTATATTGGAGTAACGTGTACTGAGTTGGTGCGGTACCTCAGCATATAAATGCGTGGACCCCATTCCATCAGAGACCTGAGGCTTAAGTACTGGTGCGTGGGGGGTGCTCTTAGCCATGGAAATAACACCAGGGGCCTTTCGTACACAGTGTGATGTTCCAAACTGATGACCTGCTCTGGGAAACTTTTTTTGAACAGAATGCTATTGCATTTCTGGAAAATTCCATGTAAATCTGAGCTTGAAAGGATTAACGTGTTTATATGTGCAGTTGAGTTCTTGGTTCATACCCTACAAACAGGTTGTTTCACCTCCATACATGGCCCACAGGGGCCCAGTCTATGTATGGCAGTCATGGTAACATGCCTGACTCTGCCCACACTGTCAGCCCCACCCCCAAGGTCAGGTGACAAAGAAGCCCCGGGAAATTCCACAACATTCCCTTTGGGCAGCGTGGCCCCTGTTGAAAGCCACTGCTCAGAACACCCAGTGTGCTGTAAACCACAGGTTCTCAGCTGGGGGTGCTCTGCCCCCCATGGAACATTTCACAGTGTCTGGAAACATATTTGGTTGTCACGACTGGGGAAGGGGTGATGCTGGCATGTGGTGGGTGGAGACCCGGATGCTGCTAAAGGTTCTGCAGTGCCCGGGGCAGCCCCACAGGAAGGAATTACCCAGCCCCAAATGGGACTGGTGCCGAGGTGGGGAACCCAGTAGAAACCACTGGCCCGATGGCAGAGATTTGCACAGCTGTGTCAAGTGATGCATCAGGGCCATACTCCCAGGGCCGTGAGTGTGATGTTAACAAAGGGTGTCATCTAGTTAGGGTGCCCTGTTAGTACTACTCTCACCATTTTGCAACTTTCATAATTGAAGAAAGGAAGAGAATCCAGCTCTTCTTCTGAATAATCTATTTTTCAGCATTTTATCGAGGACACTGAAAAAAAACATAACATGTTTTCCCAGGCCCCACCCACCTTCCTGCCCCTCCTCTGTTTTCACCTTGCCCCCAGTCATCTTGTTATTTCGTTGTGTATCTCTGAAAGGCAAGGACTCTTGAAAAACAACATGATCGTGTTGGTCCATGGGGACAAAACTGGTTTCGTAATAGTACTAAGACGTCATGTGCCTTTCTTGCTGTGTTGACGTTCACAGTGACTGGGCAAAAGCCGCAGTGGGGCCTGAATGGGAATCAGGGCCAACGCCGTCCTGATCCTTGCTCTCCGTCTGTACTATGCATTTGCAGTAAAGGGTAGAAACCCTGCTGGTTTCGCCTCAGACTCTGTGATGAAGCAGGAAAGATCCAATTCTATTAAATGTCAGAAGGGAAAAGCATCCTTAATACCTTTATCACATCTAAACAGAAGGAACCAAAAAACAAAACTAACTCACTGCCATCAAATCGATTCTGACTCAGCGACTCCCTTTGGGTTTCTGAGGCAGTAAATCTTCACAGAAGTAGACTGCCCAGTCTTCCTTCCGCGAACAGAAGGAAGTGATTGGTAATTGCTTAACGTGTCACCAGACAGATCGTGCTCAGCTGTTCCTGGTGGCCTCATAAATTTTGTCTCCATTTGCCTTGTGATCATGGTCTAAACAAGGCTTTTCCAATGTGTAGGTTGCTATTCTTTCTTTAGCCTTTTATTTGTTGGGGGGGGGGGGGACAGGATAACCTCAATCACAGTGGGCTGTTAGGAAGAGCCTGGAGTGTCCCATGAGTGGCCTGCTGCTCTCATCACGTAAGGACACATTGCATGGAGTCTCTGTTGAAGGACCAGCGGAAGCCCCTTCCCTCAGCTGCCGACCCCAGAAAAAGCCACGCTTCTGAGACAATGGTGGATGTCTGGAAAGTAGGACATTTTTATAGAATTTTTAAGTGTTTTGTTGTTGAGAATATACACAGCAAAACATGCAGCAATCCGACAGTTTCTGTGGGGATAATTGAGTGACGCTGAGGACACTCCTTGGGTGGTGCAGCCTGTCCGCCCTCCCTCTCAGGGCTGCTCCCCCACAGCCCCTGAGGTTCCTAGCTCGTCTGTTGGGTTGCTGTTGTCAGTTTGGTCCCGTATAGACAGTGCTTTAAAGAACACAATGAGAGCAGGCTATTCTAATGCTCACATGTTGGAGCTTTGGCTTCATCATCCTCTTGCTTTCCTCCAATTTTTTCCGAAAAGGAAAGCCCAGGTCTCTGACCTTTGGGCTGTTGTTGACATCGTGTACTGAGTTGTGGTTGTTGGGGTCTCATAAGACCAATAAAACACCAAGAATTTAAATGTACTCCTCTTTACCCTAGGAGCTCTGGTGACATAGTGCCTAAGGCATTTGACTGCTAACCAGAAGGCTTGCAGTTCAAACCCACCATCCACTCCTCAGAAGGAAGATTGAGCAATCTACTTCCATAGTGATAGCGCCTCGGAAATCCAAGGAGGGGTTGTTGCTATGAGTCGGATCCAGCTCGACGGCAGTGAGTTTGGTTTTTGAGTTACTCTTTGCCATGAAATGAAACAATCACGGGCCATCCCATAAGGCATGTGTGGTTGTTGAGTCAGTTCTGCCTCTCAGCGCCCCTAGAGTACTTCCCCATAGGGTTTCCAAGGCTGTAAATATTTATAGAAGCAGACTGCCACATCTTTCTCCCACAGAGCTGCTGGTGGGTTCAAACTGCTGACCTTTTGGTTAATAGCCAAGCATTTAATCACTGCACCAACAGGGCTCCTTCCCATAATCAAACACTCATCTCAGCAGGACCCTGAATCGTGCTCCAGATCACAGAAGAGCTGTTAGTGCCCAGCTCTGGTCATCTCATGCTTTCGTTTGGTATTTCCACCACAGGTGCATCCTAGCAAAGTTAAGTGCACACCATAGATAGGAAAATCTGATCCTGATACATCTCAGCATGTAAAAGTTGGTCTGTAAAAAGTGTACTGCGCTGGAATTGTTGGATTGGCAGGGTGAAGAGTTGAATACTTGAATGGTTATCATGGAAAAATGCAGCCATGGTCCTAATAGCTGTTTCAGATTAGAGCATTGGAACTTACCATCAAGCTTCACAACTGAGCATCAGGACTTACCACCACCCTTCACGACTGAGCACCGGGACTTACCGCCAGCCTTCACGACTGAGCACCGGGACTTAGCACCAGGGTTCGTGTGTCCATTGTTGTTCTTTGCTGGAGAGTTAGAACTGATAGTTCCATTGGCACAGAATTGGCTTCCAGGATGTTCAGGCCCAGCTTTGCCACTCATCTCCAGAGGTTCTACAAGACCCCATTGATGCCCAGGGTTGGTCTCTGTGTCCTCACCTTTCCTCTGGTGGTGTCCTTATGTGTTCTCCTTGTCAGCTCATCTTCACAGTAGCTGTGCCCTTGTATCTGGACCTACACCACCTTCCTCTTCAATCCTGGCAGATAAATTTACCATTTACATAGCCAAGAAAATAAAAGTGCTTGGAGACAGCACTTCAGTAATAGTTCGGTGAAATAATGCTATGACCCCATTTACAGATGGTGAAAATAAAGCTCTGAACGACTAGGTCCAAGGTTACTCAGCTGGGAAGCAGTGGGCTCAGAACCCAATAAACAAGAGCCCTGATAGCACGCTGGGTTAAGTGCTCAGCCACTACACAAAAGGTCAGTGGTTTGAACCCAAATGCTGCTCTGTGGGAGAAAGATGAGGCAGTCTGCTTCTGTAAAGATTACAGCCTTGGAAAGCCTATGAGGCAGTTCTACTCTGTCCTGCAGCCTTGCTGTAAATTGGAATTGACTCCATAGCAATAGGTTTGGTTCACACAAGTAACAGGTTTACCCTGATGACGCTTTGCTGGGAAGCTGTCTCTTCAGTGGCTCAGCTGCGTCAGAGCCAGTGCTTGCTGCCCTTCTCATATATTTCATGGTCACAGCAGACGGCTGCAGCTCTAACCTTTGTGTCTGCTGTCAAAACTGGAGGGAGGGGGGAGTTCCAATAAGATGGCAGAATAGGCTGAAAGACTGCACAAACCCTCTTCAACAAAGAAGAGGGGGAACCAATGAACACAGACAAGATAATCCTGGAGCCCTGAGCCTTGAAGGGAAGGATATAGAAGTGGACTAAACTCCAACTAGCAGAAGAATTTGCATGAAAACATTAAAAAAGGAGACATAATGGAGTTGCAGTCTGGCAGCAATCCTGACGGAACAGACAGCTTGGATATTGCCGAGTGGTGGTAGGACCTAAGAACCTAAAAATCGGCCTTGCTAGCCACGGACTGCAGGAGGACTGCTCTGGTGTCTGGGGAGTAAAAGGGGAAGGCAGCCTGAGCTATGGACTTTTGTCTGTCCGCAGGCCACAGCCATTTTGAATGTTTACAAGTGACTTGACCATTTTGAATATTTAAAGTGACAGCGTTCTCCCAGATTCCAGGGACTTAAGAACAGGCTCCACTTGCCAGGAACCACAAAGATACTCCAGACTGGGATGACTAGAAAGGTGCAACATTCCTCTTGTTACTCTTATACCCCAAACCCTCT